GGACACAATGAAACATAGAAGTTGTTCTCAATTACATCTTCACAGACCCACCAAGTGCCTGCAGGTGCATTTCTACAGTCTCAGCACAGAAATAATAAAACTTACCCATTCAGATCTCAAAGAGATGCTCTCCTTTCCAGTGGGCAAGAATTTTCTTCATTGATTTGACTTCAAACAGATAAACAATAAAAAAAAAAAGACTAAATGAACTACCGTCTCCCATCACCCACTCAACACAACAGGCCATAGCAAGTTGCCAAGCAGTCAACCCATAAAGCTGGATTCCCAATCCCTGCTCTCACCAAGGGAGCTTACTTCAGTGGCTGTGCTCTGAACAGACTCACAGACACACAGGGGCTCTTTCAGTACAGGGGAGACCAACTAGTGGTCAGACATCCACCAGTCTTGGAGACGTGTGGCCCAGGTCATGAGTTTCCTGATGCCCAGGTGACTCTCTAGTCTTGGCCAAGGCCAGTTAGTGACCCGAGACAAGAAACATACCCATTGATCACAGGAGCCCGCTGTGAAAAGAGACTGTAAGTTGTACAGACTAACAGAGTTGACCAAGACCCAGAAACAAAAGCAAAATCAGAGAATCAGAATTTAAAAGAGGCAAACAAAAACCCCAGAAACCCTGAAAATCAGGGAGTGAACAGAGATAGAGTTTCTTTGCTGCCAGAAACTCACTTTGGGAACCAGGAAAGGTTGTGCCATGGGACTCTTCTCAGGCAACACAGTTTAATTGGCTCCACCAAGTGAGTCCATTTTGGCCTTTCTATGGACCAGCCTCTAGAACTGTCAAATTTTCAAAATGTTAAAAACATGAATGCATAAAAACAGCATAAAGATGTGTCAAAAATTTATCTAACTCATTAACGAAGAAATAAGCATACAGACAAGCTGATTCTGGGAGTATTTGAAGTACAGAAATTTCAGCCATTGAAGAAAGAATGTGGAATAAGATAGTTACCAGGTTAGCTTTTTCAGAATTAGTTAATGTCCCTCCATAACCATACCCTTTGGGGTGATCTTCTCTATCAGATAGAAATAACTTGCATTGCTATCTGGCATAAAACTCCAAGTAACTTCAATGGATCTAGGTTCTAGGCCAATAGTAAATGGTGAGCCAAGTAAAGGAACAGATACTTGAACAATCGTTGGAAGAGCCTTTTAGATCAAACTTCAGCGTAACATTAAAAGGACAGGCATTTCTCTTTTGCCCAATTTTCATTTTGTGGATAAATTTTCTTAACAAGGCAGATAGATGGTGCAATTAGGACAAGGAGGATCTGAGCTTGTGAGCCTGGTACGAGAAGCAAGATGGCTGAAAGGGCACAGACTTAAAATGTCTCATAAGAGAGTTGACACTAAACAGGAACCTGCAAGGCCAAGGGTGGTGCGGTTTTCTATAAGAGGAGTTGAGCTGTCAGGGCTGAAGATGAGACGGTTGTAGCTTGACCCGGGAGCTGATGAGCACAGAGGTCCTCAGGTAGGACATTCAGAACAGCCTGTAGAGTTTATTTCCTCTGATCTCTCCTCTGGCCTGAGCAGCTGACACAGGTTTATATCAAATACTCTTCTTATGTGTGGTCTAGTGAAGGCATTCACCACACCGTGCTCCATCACTCACAGTGAAAAGACATCAAACTGTTGCCTCCTCAGTGGTGACCCCATGAGCCTTCCCTTTCCTGGGCTGGACTGCCCCTGAGGCTCGCTCATTGCACAGCGAGCTTGTTTCTTGCTTCTGTTTTATACCACTACTCTCACCGCAACACCTGGTATCAACCAATACTCTGCAGTTCAAGTTTACCAGCACTGTACCCAAGAGGTGACTCCCTGCTGCTCCCCGCCCTACCCCGTTGTGTTCATGCCCCCTCCATGCTACTCCATGGCCCCTCCCTCTGCCTGCTTGTCTGATACTTTCCGTCATATCTCAGTCTACAGTCCTTGCCCTTGTCAGCCCCTTCCTAACACTTCTCAGCCTGTCCTTTCCTCTCCCAAGCACACTCAGCTGCTTTCCACTCAGCCAGACATCTCTCGGCTCTGGGTGCCTCCCGCTCCAGCTCACTCCCCACTCAGTGTAATCCCACACCCCGCGTGGTGCATCCCAGGGTCCCAGGGTACTCTGCTTTCGGCTTCTCTGTGTTCTGAATATTCCACATCCCTAAGCCTGAAGGCCTACCCCCCACTCTGCTTTATGACCACACCTGCCTCTCAGAGTGTTCAGACATTCACCAGGTGACCTGTGGATTGGACCTATTGTTCCCTGGAGTTATTCAGGACTTTGGATCATATTCAGATTGTCTTCATAGCTACAGCTTTCCCAGGGTGGTTTCAAGGTCCATACATGACCGAAGGCTGAGGGGAAGGGGGGATTAAATGTGAACCCCTCTCTGGGCCCCATGTCCAGCGGCATCTCAGGGCCCTGGGGCTGGATCTCTGGGATCAGCTCATCTGTTCACATTCACAGACTCCCAGAACAACCCTACGTGGACCTCAGGACAGCTTGAAAATGGATCCAGGGCTCTTGAATCTGCCTTTCCAGTGTTTTGAAAAGCCTAACATATAATTAGAGGGAGGTCTTTGTGCCTATCCTCCAAAGCCTTTAGAAAAC